CCACCAACCCATTCCCACCTGGGGTCTGATGAGGGAAAACTTCTTGCGGTCTCCTCTCAAACTCCTCTGCAAGCTAAAACCATTCTCTCAATTCTGATAGAAAGCCAAAAGTTGGAAATTTTACTGGGAAGGGGTCATGGATTGGGAGAAGACAAAAGAATTGGGGGTGGGGTGTGGTGAGGTAGGTGCGCTGGGTAAGGAAGAAACAGGAAAAGAGAGAAGAGAGCATCTATTTTTTCCTTGCTCCCCTTTCCCCCAATTGAGGAGGCAGATTTACAGCCTTGGTTTGCGGGGTGGGGGAGGTAAGCAGGAGGAAGACAGATCTGCAGCTCTGCCCTCTGAGTGTCTGGGTACTTAGCTTTAACTCCCCCATTAGCATCAATCCCCATCTTGCTGCCCATTCGTCTTCTGACATCAGCTCCTTCCCCTCTTTGTAGCCCAAGCTTTCTGACCCTAAGTGGCTCTTAAAGGGCCAGTCTAGACCCTTCTCTCTCTCCCTCCTCCCATTCCAGGCAGCAGACTGGTATGTGTACGCATGTGCACTGTGACCATCCTTGTTAAGGCCATAGTGGATGGAGAGCATGGTACAGGGGGCAGACAACTCTTCCACAGCTCTCTCTATTCTTTTCAGACCTCCCTTATATCAGGGACCCCCATCTTTGTTCACTACCAGCCCTCTCAGTGGGCTGGGGGTCACAGATGAAGGGCTCCTGGGGCTGAGGGCTGGAGAAGGCATGTGGATGCAGAGACAGATCATTTCTCCCTCCCTCATTTCTTGGAAGTCCAGGGCAAGGGGTGTCAAGAACTACTGGCTGTTTTTAATTCTCAGCCAGCGATGGGGGTGGACAGGTTGGGGGCTGAAGACTCCTAGGAGATGCCCTGAGCCCTACATTCCTATCCTCCTTTCCCAGGGATCCAGGCTGTAGTCTGTGGGAGGTGGGGGATTTCAAATCTTCCTCTCCTTGTGAAGGAGGTGACAGGCCGGAGAAACTTGCCTCTGAATTTCCCGGCTCCTCTCCCGTTTTCCTCAGCAACTGAGCTTAGGGAGGCCAGAGGGGAAACAGGCTTCTTCTCATCTTTTGCAGAAATGCTATAACTGCACTCCAGAGGCTATAAGAATGCTGGGAAGCTCAGAAAGTTCCTCCCTTATCTGCCTTCAATCCTTTCTGCTGCAAAGTTCTGCAGTCCTCTGAGGGGCTCTCCAGGATAGTCAAACCCCCTTCCTGATACCCGAAACCTATTCCCCACTGCCATCGGTGCTACCTTCTTTGGCTCAGGATGAGAGGGAATGGGTGGGTAGGGGCCTTGGGAAAGTGGCCATGTTAAAAATAGGAACCCCAAGCTGCACCCCCGATGGCCCCTTATTTATCACTTTCTGAACCTCACTCTCAAAGAAGCATAAATATTCCTAATTCCTGAAGGCCAACCCTGAACTCATAAATTTAACTGGGGAGGTGGGCAAGGGGGAGGAGTGAGATGTAGGGATTGGGGAGCCTACTGCAGCCTTGAGGAAGCAGAGCATCTCCTGGGGGAGGCGCCAGTGGGTCTGCTAGAGAAGAGGAGTAGAAGTGGTTTCTCTCAATATTTCCTCTGGAGATTAATCTTTTCTCAATGCATCCTTCCCTGATTCCCCTCACCCCGCCCCCCCCCCCAAAATAAATAAAAATAAAACTCGACTTTAGTCCTAGCCTTCCTCATTAGTTCTCGGTCGTTCTCCTTCCCTCTTTCCTTTGCTGCTACCTTCCAGTTGTCCTTTCCCGCTTTTCCCTTCCTCTCACCTCTCTATTGCGCCTTTCTGTCTTTTCTTCTCTAAGTCTTTCCCCTTGCAGAGCCATTGTCTGAAAAGGAAATTTCTGTCTCTTATTCAGTCTGGATATGAGGTTTGAAAAGAGAAGTCCCTCTCAGTGCCCCGATCTCCCTGCTTCAACCCATTTGCCCCCTCAAATACGTCCTTTCTCTTCAGTCTCTCATCCTTTCTTCCCCTCACCGCCCCCCCGTTTCTCTTCCTCAGTCTTTTCTTTCTGTCGCTCTTTTTGCCTCCTCAGTTTCCCCTTCGCTCTTCAGTTCCGTCTCCTCTCTCCCTCTTCGGTCTCTCCTCCGCCTACTCCACCCCTACCCGCACCCCTCAGACACCGCCGCCCATAAGTTCCCCTCAGACCCGTCCTCCGCTTCGGTGCCCCCCCGCCCCGCGCCCTTTCCCCTTCCCAGTGGATGAAAGACAGGGGAAGCGAGGGCTTGAGGAACAGGTAGAGGGAGCTCGATTCTTTGAGGGGAGGAAAAGAAGAGAAAAAGCAGGGAAGAGGCAGACGGGGGGGAGAGAGAGAGAGAGAGAGAGAGAGAGAGAGAGAGAGAGAGAGAGAGAGAGAGAGAAGCTGTGGCGAGGGGAGGGGTATCCTCACTGCCCAGCTGCGCCCCACCCCCCCGCAGCCGCGGAGCCATAAATCAGGGCCAAGGTGGTCTGGCCAATGGTAGAGTGACTCGTAAATCGGCCTGTCAAGCTGAGCCAATGAGAGACGGCGTTAAATCAAGTCCTGTCAGCTCTTAGCCAATGAAAGGCCCTGGGCTGACCATAAATCTGCCTGTAAGAGACAGCAAAAGAGAGAGAGTGTGTGCGGGCGAGCAAGAGCAGCCGGGGCGGGGGACTGCGGAGGGGGAGACGGGAGAGCTGGGGGAGGGAGAAAGCGAGCTTAGGAGAAAAAAGGCGATAACAGAGGTACAAGAGATGAAGACAGCCTGCAGGAGAGACGGACAGATGGAGAGAGACAAAGAGAAGCCGTGAAAGATAGCGTCAGAAAGTCAGCGATAGGGCTCGGGCTCGGGCGGGAGACTGACAGAGATAAAGAGACAGAGAAACAAACACTGACTCACACTCCTGAGTACGCAGCGTCCCCAAACGCACACACTTCCCCGAGACGCGCGTGAGCAACGCACCGTGAGGGACCTAGTACATGGGCACACAGGCGCCATGCACATCTGCAAGAGAGAGAACGCCTGAAGAAAGCCTTGCCTTTCTTCCATTTCTCTTCCCTCATTCAGCCCTTATTCAAATTAAGGGTGGGAGTGCGGGTAGGCCGTGGAGGGTGAGAAAGGAGGGGGTTGCTTGCTAAGATCCGTCCTCTGTGATCTCAGACTGCAGGACTTCCTCCTGCGTCCCCTGGGTCATTTTTTCCAGCGACTGATAATTGGGAAGTCCCTCCTGAGATCTAATCTCAGTCCCTATTGCTGCTTCTTTCTACTTGACAAAGCTTTTGAATTGCCTTCAAGGATTATGAAAAGTGAACCCTTTAGGAACACTTCAGAGAGTTGTCAACTTTCAGAATCTTAGAAGGTCTGAGTAGGAAGGACTGTTAGGGATTATCTGATCATTTGATCCTAGTTTTAGAAAGCCAGAGGTTAGACATGTGGGTTGGTACTTCACAGTCATTGTGCTGATACACCAAGGTCCAGGGTTTGATTCCTGTACCTGGCAGCTGCCAGAAAATAAATAAATAAATCATGATCATACATCTTACGAGCCCTTTGACCTTGGAAAAATTACTTATTTGTGCTTCAGTTTTTTCATTGGTAAGAAAGAGATAATAATAGATACCTCACGGTAATTTTGTAAGTATTACATGAAATAACGTATTTACAGGATTTAGAACTGCACTGGGCATGTGGTAATAGTGCACTCCATCACCCACCCCCACCTCCCTCCTTTGTATAGATGATAAAATCTGAGGACCAGAGTGGTCCAGAGATCTGTTCAAGTTCATAAAGCTAATTATCAGAGAGCCTTGACTGGAACCTTCTTCTCTACACTCCTAAGCTGATATTCTTCATTGGTTCTGCAGCTCACCTGTGTGGGTCCTTCCTCAGTAACCCCAGCTTGACTCAGTTTAGGCTTCTGTGATTTTTATGGAAGGAGGACACCCAGAAGCGCATGTTCCAGATTAGGAGTCAGGATTCCTGGGCCCTGGAATTGTGTTGCATATAAGGGTATCAATCTGTCTACCCCAGGTGTGGTTCTTTTTGTCCTTGTTTGAATCTCTTCAGATTTCACTTTGTTCTCTCAAACCATGGATTTGGGAGTAGGGAGGAGACAGCATGCAGCCAGAGTGTTCATGTCATCATGACTCTCACATTCCATCCCAAGTGCCACCACAGTGCCCCCCGCCCCACCCCGCAAGTAGACAATAAATATCTCATGAATAATAAATGTCTCATCACTTTTCTTCCTAAGCTTTGGGGGAAAGGGAAAGTACAGATTCCTGGGTCTCTACCCCCTGATCAGGGGTCTCTGGACTCTCAGTCCTGCAGGCATCTCCTGTCCTCAACCAGGAAGTCAGAAAGGAAACACAGAGAACCAGCGTCACCTGGTGGCTACAGATTCTTTAAGGATGTGTGTGAGCCTGCACACAGTGACAGGATGTTGGTCATGCTGGAGGAAAGGAATGGTCTTCCACTAGCCCCTGAGCCTTCTTAATTAGGATCTCTGTTCTTATGCTTTCATAAGCTAGGATGACAAGAGCAGGGGAAATGAGGGCCTGGGACCCAGGTGAATTAGCCCCAATAAGCGAGATCCTGCTAGGGCAGCTGGAACCCTTGTCTGCCTTTGCCTCAGCTAAGCTCAGTTCCATTTCCACAGAGCAAGGGGTCCTTCTCCATGACAATTCCCTTTGCACAGGGCAAGGGCCAGGGATCTGGACTCACTGGAGTGGATATCAAAGCTAGGTCACAAAACTTTTTTGAGCTAAATAAATCTGTTTGTGGGGATGGGGAATCCTGGCAGCAGTAGTTAGGGGCAGGGGCTGAGAAATTAAACAAAAAGGCAAGCTAATCTTCCTAAACCACCTTACATGTTTTATAACCTGGAAAATCCTCAGCTGAAGGCTATGTCCCAGGCCAGCTGCTTCCTGCCCCTGCTCTGACCTAGGTCCCTCTAAATTTTCAGCTATTAGCTTCCAGCTCCAAACCAATGCTGGTCTCTTTCCTTCTTCCCCAGAGACCACACCTGAACATTAAAAGCATAAAATTCATTTATTAACAATTTAATAATGCCGCTTAGGAAGCTTAAGGCTGAAACATTGGTCAAGGAAAGGAGAAACTTGGTTTGGGAAGATAGGGAGAAGTTGTCTGTGAAAATGCCCACAGTTCTTTTTTCACTTGTTCTCAAATCAGCTGGCTACTTTGGCTGGGGAGGAGACAGTCCTGTATTCTGGTGACTGGGGACACAGTTCTAACGGAGCCTACGGAAACTCTGGGGCCCTCGTTTTAAGAGGGAGCCATATGCTTGGCGGAACTGGCGGTTCATGGCTGCATAGAGCACAGGGTTGATGCAACCATTGAGCCAGGTGAGGTTGGCAGCAAGCATGTGGACAACTCGGGGGGCCTGAACCCTGGCATCCAGGATGTTGAGCAGCAAGAATGGGATGTAGCTCAGGGCAAAACAAAGGAACACAGCAAAACACATCCGAGTCACCTTTCCAAACTCTGATGGAGAGTCCTGAGCTCTTCGGGCTCCTTTAGTTGGTCGGGACTTGGCTTCTGGAGGGCTTTTCTCTGCCATCTGCTTAGTTACCTCACTGTTGCTCTGGTCCCCCACTTCTGATGAGTCCCCTTCGAGGGTCTGGGTGGTGGCAGCACTGACTGTCTCAGAAGAAATCCCCTCACAGGGCTTTCCCGATGCTAGCCCATTGTCCAGCTCCTGGAAATGCCCAGGAATAGCCTCATCTTTTCCAGCCACATGGTGGACACTTGCCTGTTGCAGCTTGTATTGGTCCAGCGCCTGTGCTGCTCGCTTCACGTGGCGGTGGATGAGACAATAGAAGATGCCAACACTGCTGAGCCCAAGCACAAAGTACATGCCCATAAGGATGGTGGTGTAAGGCCGGCCTCGGATGCGGTCAAAGCTGCAGGTGCAGACTACAGGAACCAAGATATAGACAGGCCAGAGAGGGGCAAAGCTGGCCATACCTACAACCCAGGTGCCCACCAGTGCCAGCACTATCCCCTTGCTACTGAAAACTCGGGGAAAGAGTTTAGGGTGGGCAATGAGGAGGTAGCGTCCCAGTGCAATCAGGCAGAGGGTGAGGATGGAGACAGAGTTAGAAGTAAAAAGGAGGAGCCCAAACACTCTGCAGAAGGTGGCACCGCTACGCCAGTGCAGGTGGAGGTAGGTGTCCACAGAGAAGGGCTGGAGAAGGGTGCAGTAGAGCAGATCGGCCAGTGTGAGGTTGGCGATGAGCAGGTTGAAGTGGGTACGGAGCTTGGGCTGGATGGCCAAGGCCAGCAGGGTAAGCACATTGCCCACGGTGCCTGTCACAGCCACCACCACCCCCCAGCTAACTGCAACATAACAATAGCCCAGCACAGACTCATGGTAGCAGGAGAAGCTGGCATCAGAGATGTTCCACATGATGCAGGCTGAAGAGGCAGGGGGTGAAAGAGGAAGAGGAAGTCAGAACCTGGCCTTCAACTTAGATTTCTTGAACAGCTAGGGGCCCCTGGACACCTGAACTGCTCCTGGAGCTTACCTTAATTCATTATCCTCCCGAAACATTCCCAGGCCTCTTTACCTCAAGATCCTCAGCTCTCTCCTTAGGTTCTCAGTCCTTTCCCAGTCTCAAAGATTTTCTCAGATTCTTATCTAAATATCTCTTAGTCTGTGTCTGCCCCCAATCCCAGGCCTCTTCTTTTTCTTCTTCCTTTTTTTTTTTGGCAGCTGGCCAGTACGGAGATCCAAACCCTTGACCTTGGTGTTATAACGCCACACTCTAACCAATTAAGCTAACTGGCCAGCCCTCTGGCCTCTTCAGCTCTTAGTCTGTGTCTGCCCCCAATCCCAGGCCTCTTCTTTTTCTTCTTCCTTTTTTTTTTTTGGCAGCTGGCCAGTACGGGGATCCAAACCCTTGACCTTGGTGTTATAACGCCACACTCTAACCAATTAAGCTAACTGGCCAGCCCTCTGGCCTCTTCAATGTCTGTCCAGATGCTGTCAGTAAACCCAGTGCCCTCCAACTTTTTAAATTCTTTTCCTACCCCCAAAGACTACCCAGGAATCCCTCTCTGTATTCAGGAAGCTGCTATAATTCTCTCTGCTCCTCTCCTCTATAACACATATATAGGCTTCAGTTTTTTCTGCTACCAGCTGGGAGATAAGGAGACTGAGAAAAAAAAAAAAAAACACTCACAACAAAAGCAGTCACCTGAGTCTCCCAGCCTTCAATTTTCTATCCAGTGGAAGAAGTCCAGCTTACCCAAAGAGCAGTCCTTTCTGGTGGGCAGTGAGGTTTCAAGTAGAAGCTATTCTGTGTTTCCTATTATACTAGACTGGGAGAATAAGAAACTCCCCAGTTGCCTAACCTCAGTCACTTCCTTCCCAACTGCTAGTCCTACTTGTTTTACTTCGGCTAGTGAAATGTGGGCTTCTCTGTTGAAATTCCCCTCTACTTACTCCAGAGCTGTCTCACTCCTTTCTCAAACCTGAGCTCTGTTTCCTTCCCCTCTTTGCATGGCAGGACATTTATAAGATCATTGCCGAGAATTGTTGGGACATGGAGACAGAGCATCAGAACATCTGGGTCACTTCTCAAGGGGCCAGAAGCCTTGAGTTTGTTTTGGGGGAGCACTGCCTTTCTTCTCTCCCGAGCTTGGAGATGGTCCCATATAGTGGTTAGAGGGTCGCATATGACACCTTAGCACATCTGAGAAAAGGAGTCAGATGAAGAAAGATAGGAAATGAGACATCCGGGACTCTGGCTTTGTTCCCCACAGGGGCTCAAACTCCTGTTCAATCATTCATTCATTCATCTATTCATTCAACAGATCTGTATTGAATGCCTACTATGCCTCAGGCTCTAAGCGAGATGCTGGGGATATGAGAATGTCTGATACATGGCCTTCTGCATGGTCTAATGGGGGAGACAGATCTGTAAATATACAAATGCTTAACTGGTTCCCTAAAGCAAGGGTCAGCAAACTTTGGCCTATGGGCCAAATCTGGCCTGCCATCTGTTTTTGTGTGGCCCATAACTCAAGAATGTTTTTTCCATTTAAAAATGTTTACATTTTAGGGCCAGCCCGTGGCTCACTCGGGAGAGTGTGGTGCTGATAACACCAAGGCCACGGGTTCGGATCCTATATAGGGATGGCCGGTTTGCTCACAGGCTGAGCGTGGTGCTGACAACACCAAGTCAAAGGTTGAGATCCCCTTACCGGTCATCTTTAAAAAAAAAAAAATGTTTACATTTTAAATGGTTATAAAAGTACCTATGTAATATTATCAATTTTGCCCTTGGTCAGCATAGTTTAAAATATTTACTATAAGGCTCTTTAAGAAAAAGTTGCTGAAGCTTGCTCTGATATAAAGTATATGAGGGGCTCAGAGAAAAGAAGGAAGCTAGTAATGAGGAGGTCAGGAAAAGGTTCACAAAGAAATACCTGAGATGCATTTTGAGTGATGCACAGGAGTTTTTTGGGAAGATAGGTGGAAGGATATTCTACACAAAGGGAATATCATGCACAGAAGCACAGAGGTTTAGGTAGAAGTCAATAAGGGGTGTGAAGTAGAGAGCAACAGAGAAGAGTGTGGAGAGGTGAGCAGGAGTGGGATCAAGGAGGCCCTTGTGTATCATGCTAAGGAGCTGGGGTTTTATGCTTAAGATGTTGGGGAGATTTACACTCATAGCTGTAAGTAAGGAGTGAAGTAATGCAGGCCAGAAATGAGAAAGACCAGTAAGGAGGCACCTGTTAACATAAGAGGCAGATAGAGCCTGAGTCAGGGCCAGGCCACCTGTGCAATTGCACAAGGCCCCACACTCTGAAGGGTCTGGTGCTTGGTTTCATGCTCTTCAGTCACTGTCTTGAAATTCTTAATACTTTTTGAACAAGAGGTCCTGCTTTTTCATTTTTCGGTGGGCCCCACAAATTATGTAGCCAGTCCTGATTAGGGCAGCCATTGTGGGAATGGAGAACAATGATCAGTGTCCACACAACATTTAGTGGTTCATTGGATGAAGGATTAGGAAAAGGGAGAAACTGGAATGACTCCCCATTTTCCAGATGGATGATGGTGCTCTTAATAAGACAGGGAACGTGAGAGGACCAGGCTTAGGGAAAGGGGTATAAAATGAATTTGGTTTTAAATGAGCAGGTTTGAGGTACCTGTGGGGTACGCTAGTATCCCAGCCTCTCTAACCCCAATTTCTTCCAGATCCCATCTCCCTCCCCACACACAACTCAGCCCTGTCTTTCTCCACCCACTTTCCTATAAGACCATTCTTGCCCCTCATCCTTCTGGATCTTCAGTCTGTGCCTTTATTTGAGCTAGATTGACCTTAAAAAAAACACCCCAAAACCAGAAAACAAAAATCCCTCCTTGTTGGGTTCCATTTCTGAACCCACAGTGAACCTTCACCCCCAACTTCACATTTGACAAACCCAGGAGGTCCCTATTCCCCTCTCCTTCCTCTTTAACATTCATCTTCTCACTTTCTCTCTTTTCTTCTGCAATACTGGGAAGTGCATATAGAGGGGGAAATGAGGAAAGAAGACACAAATCAGGAGGACTCCACATACGTGCTGTGTTTTTGTTTGGGCTCTTTTTTTGTTTGACCTTCCTCCCACCTAGTAGGGCCAGGGAGAGAGGGTCACTGTGTAACTGGCTGCTCTTGGGATTGTGTAGTTGAACTGAATTCTGAGGCTGATGAAGAGGCCCCTTCCCCTCCACACCATGTGAGAGGCAGCTGAGTACAGTGTGCTTCTCTGTCTCACAGACCATTTAGGGGGCCAGGTGAGAAGTGTTTTAGCATAGCTGTTAATGGCACAGTCCCAGCTCTTCAGCGTTGGATACGTGAGGTCTTAATGAATCTTTAAAAGACTCAAACCTGTTCATTTTGTATTCACCCAAACCTGTTCATTTTGCAGATGGGGACACTGAGATCCAGAGAGGGCAAGGACTAAACCAAGATCACTGTTTATATGGGGTCGAGCAGAGCCTTTAGTTCAGATCCCCAGTCCCCGCCACACTTCTCCCTCTGTCTTGCGTCTCGCTGGTGAGGATTTCCCACCAGAGACAAAAAAGACTAGATTTCTTTCTTTGTCTGAGACTGGGTCTAGACCCTTTTCCTTAGAATCGCGAGACACATCATAGGAACTGCTTAGCATAAGGGACTCCTTTTCCGTGTCTTTGGTGCCGCCTGGTGGAGTTGAGAAGAATTCTCAATAGCCGCAGCTGCAGTCCCAGACCTGGACTCGAAATGATTCCCCCCGCCAAGTTTACACGAGCTGGGCTGGAATGGGGGTGGGTGGCATGGGGGAGCCTCTGCTAGCTTTGCACAAGCCTCGTATCTTGTCGACCCCCACCCGTTTTCCCGTCCACCTCCTCGTTCTGGCCCCCTTTCCTGTGCGCCAGTCCCCCTTAACGTACAGATACAGATACATCTCCCGATCGAATTTCTTCCAAAACAGTGGGCAAAGACGGAGTCTGAGTCTGCGGGGCGAAGGGCAGAACGAATTCAGACTTTATTGTCAGGGAGAGGGAAAAGGGGAGGAACGTGGGTGGGGGGCCGGGGTTGCTACATTGTCAAGCAGAAAAAGTTGATGGGGAGGGGAAGGCCAGTGGGGGCTGGTTCCCCTCCCGGGTCGGCTGCTGGAAGGGCTGACGACACGGAAACTACAGGGGGGATGAGGGTGTGTGCGTGTCACGCCCCCGCCCGAGTTGTGCTGTGGAGGTGTCTGGTGGAAGAGGACAGCCATGAGGTCTAGGAGCTGGGACGGGAAAGGCTACAGAATCGGCACATCCTGTGGAAAGGGGAGGGCCGGGGCGAGGCTTCTATTGCTTTTTGCTCACAGTTTTGCGGAAGGCGAGGCGGGGGTGGGCTTGGACTGGACACCCCTTGCCCCCCTCGGTACCCCTAGGGCGATGGGTGCTGGTGAAAAGAATGGAACCCGGACTGGGGAGGAAGAAGGCGAGGGAAGGATCTATGGGGGCATCTCCTTGGTCCCACCCAAGTGCCAGAGATGCCCCCCAAGTGCTGCCCCCTGCGATGGGCCTATCTAGACCTGGGGCTGGGGCATGGTGCGGGGCGGGCACAGTGAGGTTGCAGGCGGTAAAACCAAAGTGCTTATGAGGGACCCAGGATCCCGCCTGCTCCCCTCCCCCTGCGGAGGACGGGGGTGTTCACGGAAGCGCTTCAGTTTGGGGTAGGGGGCCGGAGTCCCAGAGTCCGCTTATTGCCGAGAAAATCCATTTCTGCCCCCTGGACCCCGACCATGGCTTGTGAACCCCGTTTTGTGCTAGGTTTGAGGGGGAAGGGCTGGATGGACATGGCTTTTGGGAGGGGGGGTGTCTCCAAGGGGGCTCGGGGGTGAGACGGCCCCCCCTTTTCTAGGGGAGAAGGAAGGGCAGGGGGCGGGGTTCCCTGAGATCTGGGGTGTTCCCCCCTTTCTGAAGCCCCCCTCCCCCATAACCCCTCCCCATTCCTGGAACCCCGTATCTCGGGGTGGGGGGGGGGGAAGGAGAGATCATTCAGGGAGTGCCGGGAGGAAGGGCGGGCTGGGAGCCCGGAGGCCTGGGTCCCGGCTTGGGGAAGGGAGGCGGGTGGAACGGGAGGGGTTCAGGGTTGAGGTCAGTAGGGGGAAAAGAGGATGGGTCCGTGCGCAGTTCGGATGGGTCCGGGGGCCGGGTGGAGCAGGGGGTGGGTAATCGGCGGTCCCTGGAGAAGAGGTGCGGCTGGAGCCGGCCGCAGGGACAGCGGGGAGCCTGCTGCCGCTGCCATCACCGCAGCCACCGCCAGGGGGCTGGGGAGTAGGCCGCCGGCCAGGGACTTGGGCAGCTCCTTGGAGAAAGTCAGCGTGCCCTGAAGTGCGCAGAGAGGCGAGGAGAGAGAGAGAGAGAGAAGTCATCCGATGGTCCCGCAAACCCCACCTCTCCCCGGGCTTGGCCTGCGTCCCTCTCCTCTCCTCGCCCAGGTGCTCTCATTGCCGAATTCCCCAGCGCCCAGGCCTTACCGCCAGCTCCGCGGTGCCCCTAGGCTTCTTGTGACGGCTCAGTAGTGGGTTGGGCTTCCCGGCCACTCCGTCTCGGTGCCGCCGGCTGGAGATGTGCTGCGGGGGCGAGTGCGTAGGGGGCCGTGAGCCTCCAGAAGAGAAGCAACCGTTAAGCAGCACGGCCATTTGGCCGATAATCTAGCTCCAAGCACCGGGCCCTGCCCCCTTCTTTAGCAAGGTGGGGGTGAAGACCTTGAAGAAGGCCCTTTGCCCGCGCCCCCTTTTCTCTGCGGAGCAGGTGGAGCTCCCTA